GGAGGGCAGTGTCACTGGCCCTCATATGTGGGATCCGAACCGGGGCCCTCTGGCATCCCAAGCGAGTTCTTAACCATCGCGCCACTTGGCCGGCCCGCCATTTTCTTTTTAAATCAATACGTGGTATTGGTTTAGAAGGCCCCTTCCACCCCACATTTCTAAGATTTCAGTGACAAAGAGCCTTGAAACACTCCCCTCGGAAGCACAGCTTTCCCGTAGGTGCTTTAAGATTCTTGGTGCCACAGGAGTGCCTGAGGCCCTGTGTTCAGCCTCCCTTCCAACTGCAAGAACACAAGATGGACTGACAAGGACTAGGAAGCTGAGGCCCATCCTATTCTCTCCTGCCACCTGCTGGCTCTTCCCTTCATCTCGTTTCTCTAGGACACTGGTGGTGTGCATTCAGGAGAATACATTTCCAGAGCGCCTCTGCCACCCACAATTTCCAGGTGCGCGCGCGAGGGCGTCTATGCAGGGGAGGGGGGAACCTTGCCTATAAGGGTAAAGCTTGGATGACTTCCAGTGATCCTTACTAAATCTAGAGAAGTCATTAATTCACAGACGAGGACTGGAAGAGACCTTAAAACCCATTCTAACCCAGAGCCCTCCTCACACTGAGAGCCCATGGCAATGTATAGCCCACAGATAGGCCTGCGTTGGTCCAGCAGTGTTGAAAAATTTTGAGCTAACATACACAAATTTGGACACTTGGCTTAAAAATCAGATTCGAGATGTAATTTGCTACTGGATATTCACAAAGTCTCGAAGCTGAGCATGGCAAGCAGTTGAGTACATCCTCACTCGAGTTGCAAGATGCACCGATAACCAGATTACAATACTGCCTGTCACAAAAGACCCTTACTTACCCTTGGCCCCTGTAAAGGAGGGTCAAGCAGTAACCCTCCTTAAATCAACCTTCCTGGCCTCTGCCCTACTCCTGGAGGAGCTGCCGGCTGGAGAAGAGGGGAGCACGGGGAAGAGTTGGGAGAGGCAGAGCGAACAACTGGGCTTGAAGTAGGTGAGTTGACGTTTTGAAATTACATGTATGATTATAGTTTAGATTTAAATGAGGCTGGGGTTTTTAACACACAAAAGGAAGTTGTAATTTTAAAATGCAACTGTCCTTGTATTGGGAATGGATCAGAAAGTCACAGAATCTGATCTATTCATTCAAGATGTCATCAAAGGGTGGGCAGGAGAAATCAGAGAACACTGCTGAAGACAGTGACTGCAAGAAAAAAGCCCTTCCTTTTTTTCCTGCCCTATCAACCAGCCCCTTCAATGAATCAGTTATTCACTGGCTTCTCTTATAAACTTTATTTCCCAAGGGTATGTCTTAGCCAGAGCTGAGAAGCAGGTGTCCCCTTGAGAGACGAGGAGCTCACACATGGCATGTGCATGAACTGTCTCCCCTCGCCTCGTCGGCCCTCACTTCTGTGACCTGCCGGACCCCTAGAGCACTGGCATTTATAATCCTTACTCTAGTCCTAGTCCTCATTTTCCAGGGGGCACAAGGAGGTCCAGAGGGGACAAGTGACTCGTGTAAGTCACATAGGAAAATAGATGAGTTAGCCGTCTAGCCTAAAATCCGCTCTTATGGGTAAAATCTAGGGGTAGAAATGGCTGACGGGTCCCTTCCCTTCATTATAATGTACTGTGCTCATCCTCCTCCCACGTCCCACGTCCCTCGCTAGATCTTATCTGGTATCCTGAGGCAGTAAGAGGCTGCAGGGCCCTGGGTAGCTAAGGGAGCAGGCTGGGGCTGGGAGAATCAAAGGGCGCTGTTAGGCGCTGACATCTTCAGTTGCCTGAGGCCAGTCTTGTTCCCATTACCTCCCTGTCCCAAAGCAGCACAAACTGAAATGAAAGCAAGTGGCATTCTTCCTGTCCTTGGTTCATCCTCCACTGAGCTCGGATTTTAACGGGAACATAGGAGCTTATTCAGAGACAACTGTAGCTTGGTGTCCAAACCGAGGTTGCTTAGTGGGTGGGGGTGGGGACACCACAGCACTCCTAAACCCTCTTGCTAGTCTCCAGTTTGGTACCTTTCTCTAAGCCCCAGCAGACAGGTGTGATGTCTGGGAAGTGGCTGCGCATTTTCTCTTGGATTAAATGCTCCAGGGTGCAAAGGTAGAGGGAAGACCCTCCCCCATCGCTCCTTTGCTAAACCATGGGTACATCCAGGCCATGAAGCAGGCAGGATCCCCAAGCTCACTGAGTCCAGATAAAGAACAACTGCCTTTAACCATCATCATCATTATCATCTTTATCATCACAATACTGGCAATAGCGGTTGCCTCCATGAAGGGAAACTGGGAATGCTTATCACCCTATACTCATTTCTTTTCAGTCGACTTTATTTTTTAGAGCAGTTTTAGGTTCACTGCAAAATTCAGCAGAAGGTACAGAGATTTCCCATGTACCCCCTACATACACGCTTACACTCAGCCTGCTCCATTATCTGATCGCCCACCAGAGTGGTCCTTTTGTTAGAACCGATGACCCTACCTTGATACATCATAATTATCCAGAGTCCATAGTTTACATTAGGGTTCACTCCTGGTGCTAGACATCCTACGGGGTTTGGACAAATGTCTGACATGTATCCATTATAGTATGATACAGAGCACTTCCACTGCCCTAAAAATCAGTGCCCTATGCCCTTTTACACCTTTTGATTTCTGAACCATGTGTACCTCTTCATAGAAATAAAAACATTTCAAACGTTCTTCCCAACTTGGAATCCCAAGAGACCCTGGGGTGGGCCTCTCTCCTGGTGGAGTTCAGTCAAATGGAGGGGGGAGTCGGCTTGCTAAGTGAGGCAAGGTCTGCTGTTGCCTTTATCCTCTTTAGTCCTGACATATGAGCGGCTACCTGGATAGAAGTGAGGGAGAAAAAAAGTCCAGGTAATTGATGCACTGTTCTGTTCACCAAGGCTGTCTGGTTACAAAGCCCTAGTCAAGAACTAGTTTTGAACATGGCAGCATAACACTTTCCACCATGGCAGAAGAGGGACCAAGCCGGGAGGGCTTCGCTTCGGGAGGTGGGGAGCAGGAACACGAGCCGCCTTCTCCTATCATGTTGAAAAGGAAACATCTTCTAACCGGAGGTGCCAGTAAAGCTTTGTCTGGGACCAAATTTAAGCCTTGTCTATGTCAGACCTTCCATCCCTTTCTAAAGACTCTTAAAGCAATTCTATTTTTGAAAAACACTAATGCAAGCGCCATGGATGCTGAGTACATTAACCATAAAACAAAAATTACAGTTTTGAAGCGATGTAATACAACGAAGCTAAGGGTTTCACAACTAAAGATAATTTAGTTGTGAAACTAAATAAGCAAAGCTGAGCTGGATAAGAGGGTACACTTCCTCTAATAATATTTTTTTTCTTTACCCCTTTCGGTCTACGTGATTTTGACCTGTTGACCCAAGAGCTAAAAAGCTTCAAGACCAACAGACCTGCCTTTAACACCTACCTAAAATGTCCTGTTTTCCTAAGCATGTCCCAGAAATCAGGAGCAAATGTTAGCCTTCTCTATGCAAGACAAATTGCTGAGGCAGAAACCAAAATTCCAGCAAGAGTGCAGGCAGCTAAGGCCTCGTGTAGGCAGGATGTGAAATGTCAGGCTATTAGTCTTATATTTTTACTGCAGTGGTTACAGGAGGGGGTTGATGGGATGAAAAACAATACTGACTCTGGAGAATTTCTTCTTTTTTTCAGCCTTATGTATTGACACCCACTCACCGGGTTTGGAAACTTGCAAAAAAACGACATGGGACTTCTAGGGTGAGCATTCATTTCCCCTGGCTTCCATTCCTTGGCTGCCGACAAAGGCAGAAAATGCCCAGTCAGCGCCAACCGGTGCATGCCAAGAGCAGAGACCTGTTTCTTGATTCAACTGGCTACGGTGCAGAACTACAGTCACAGGCACTAAGGTGGAAAGCTTGGAGTTCCCCCAATAATTGATACAACCATGCAAGATAAAACGAAGCCATCAAGGTGAGACAGAAAAACAGAGGTATGTATGTGCTAATGATAAACCATGGTTAAGACATGGTATTCAATAGGTATTCGTATTTTCAGCGTGCTTTTGAGACCACTCAGAATCCACATGGTTCTCTACATTTTTTTCTGTATGAAAATGCTGGTTTCAACCTACAAAATCTTACACCCCAGAATTCTAGTAGCTAAGATAGTTAAAATCAAAAGGTATTGCCCTGACGAGTGAGAAATATACTAACCCAAATGCCCACTAATAAAAATTAAAGAATTCAAATAGTCTTTTACAGCTGGGAGAGAAACATGAATGTTTCTGTGGCTCCCTGTACCCCAATATGTCCCCTCAAACACACTGAGTGACGTTAGAATAAGTACTACCACAGAAGGGGTGGCACAGTGAATAGGACACCAGCCCAGGGCCACCACCTTCAAAACCATTCGGGCAAGTCTTCACACTGGCAGCCTCGCCCTGGCCAAGATTCAGGCAGACTCCTAGGAATTTTTTTTTTCCTTTATGGTGGGAGCTGGGAGGGAATCAAGTTGTAAACTTCAAAAACTAGAGCTCAAACCATCATGGCCCTTGAACTCCACGTTCTTTAGTTCCCTTCCTGGAATTCTTGGGCAACCTTCTCTTTTCCCCTAATTTGTTCTTCTCCTCCTGCTAAGGAGCCAAACTCAGTTTGAAAGGCATTATCTCCGGTAGCCAAGAGCGCCCATTTCCCTACATGCCCAAAATAAGGATGCACATCCCATCTAGAGACTGATGTCTTGGAGGAGAAAAGTGAACCCCCCGCCCCCAACACACACACACACACACACACACACACACACACACACACACACTCGCACACTTGGTTCTACTCAAACTATAAGCTTTTATTATGTTTTACATATCATCCATCCAGGACACGATGAATATGTGGTTGGCACCGTCTCATTTGTGAAATGATGTGATGCACAGAAGTCTCTGGCCCGGTGCTGTGCCTGCCGAAGAAGAGCCTGTCGGGCTCAGCGCTGTCCTCACTTCTGAGCTGTCACATACTTGCTGGAGTTAGACGGGTCAAGACTGACATTTAGCTTGGAGTTGAAGTTTCTAATTTTAATTTTACACTTTTGTTTACAGTTTGATTGTTTTACAGTTTACTTGAAAACCAAAGGTCACCCACTTGCTCTACTATTATTCGGAGTATGGGATTTGTTATTCACAATGCCGTACTTCCAACAGAAAAAGCAGGCTTCAGGATCATAGCTCAGGAAAAACTGAACACGTGTTCCATTTCTCCCTCCTGCTCAGTTTTTCCCATAACCTGTTCCAGCCTGGAAAACAAGAGCTTCCCCTCTCAGGCAGACACACAAGTGGGAGGAATAGCTTTGCCCTTAAATTGGAGGCCAGAGCTGAAGTCCCCTTCTCTAATCTTGCTGTATGTGTGGCCCCCTTCCTTCCCGAGTGGGGAAAACCATCGACACTCAAGTTAAAAGGCTCACCGAAGTCCGTGCTTCTGGAAAGTTAAAAAACAATACAACAAAACCAACAAAAGATAAGGAAAGGGTTCAAGTAAAGCCTGTCACCTTCTGTTAATATACAAACCTTTCATACTTGAGTAAACTTGCCAACATCTGTTTAAGCACAAGCACTGTTACACAGCTCTCCTGCCCAAAGATAGGGGACTCTAGATAAACAAAGGTGGGTAAGAAACCAATTCTAAAGCTTAGGAACAGAACAGGGCAGTCTGTGAAGTAAATTCAATGATAATGGAACCTCACCTGCATGCAGGTCAAACAGAGTGGGGGCACCGGAGGTAGAGTTGAAAAGAGGAATCCTCAGGATGCATGAATTTGATCAAGGGCACAGCTCATAAAAATCCCAATAATTTGGAGTTTTTCTATAGGAAGTTTAGGAACCACGCCAAAAGCAGGAAATGAAATGACTTCAATGCCAACAGTCTGACCTGTTGCCACTGAACCAATGTCCTCAAAGAAAAGGTCTTTGCTTTCCCTGGGACCAAGAGAGCTGTGGGGGAAAAAAAACTACCCAACACACAAGCCGAGTTAGGAGGAAATCAGCACAGAGCAGCTGAAAAGGTTCGAGAGCTTGGAATTCAACTCAGAATTCAGGAGAGGCGTTGGCATTTTAAACCAGCGTAAGCTGTGAGTTATAAAACCTTTAAAATTTGGATCCCAGGATCTCTTCACGCTACAAAAAAAAAATAGTCTTCAAAAGCTCTATCTATATATGTTGTAATGCGGGGTACAGAGGAGTCCTTCTGAAACAGTAGAAAGCTGAGGTGCACAGGTGGTGCCCGAGGCAAAATCTCCCCATTTTAGATGTTTGCAGCCGAGGGAAGAGGCGCCTACAGTAACCAGGCAGGAGGGCATGGCTGCTAACTGACACGCAGTGCCAGTGTGTCTGGGAAAAGTCGTCTGCTTTCCACTCAGGGGGCATCTGGGGGAGACGCATTCATCAGTAAGTGGGGAGGTCACACACCTGAGAACCTGCCACACTGAGCCGATGACAGATGAAGCTTTTTACAGCCACAGCCCCCTCAAAACCAGCTTTTTGAGCAAATTCTAAGAATTTATATATCAATGTCCTTCCAAATAAAAAAATGATTCTTTATTATTACATTTTTAAATCACAGAACTCCAGGCTGAACATCATTAGCCGCACACACGCGCACACACTCACTAATTTCTGCAGTTGTCTCCCATACTCCGTTTCAAAATTTGGCCAAGTTACGCCTCAGGGAATTTTCCAGTTCAACCCCATACACCAACTTGGGATAAATAGAAACACTAAAGTCTTTTGGTTTTACCCACAGTCCCAAAGTGCTACAACAGATAGAATATTCGCTGGAGATGATTTTTGCTGGGTTAGAACAAGAATAAGAATGCTGCATGTACAGTTCTGGGTGTGGCTGAAAAGTGAATTTGTATGCCTCCTGACCTGCGGGCTTTGTCCTCTTTCCCTTCCATTGTTTGGTTTTGTCTCTTTCTACAAGGGGTTGCCTTACATGCTTCAATAAAAATATATTTTCTATTCAGAATCGCACTGGAGAGCAGGTATTCTGAATGCGTAGTACTGTTACATATTAAGTTACTGAGTCTACAATTCAGAAATACGAACTCTGTGGTTACGACTCAAAATAAATATTCTTTCAAAGCAAATAAACAAATGACTTGGCTGGCTCGTGAAATGCTTCATTCTTTCTAAAGTCATAATTACAACGTGGACTTTTGCTTGATGCTGTATTCCAAGACGAAAATTAAGGTAACCTACATCTTCAAAATGATGCACAGAGCAGCCCTTCCTGTTTCTTCCCTCAGTGCTGAGAAATGACGCCAAGCCCTGGAAGTTGTAATCTACATGGCCTGGGGCATCTGGCGCTCAGGGACAAACTGCCACAAGCTCCGCCCCCCCCCCCTGGATTCATGCCCGCTATTTAAGTTTGATGGGAACTAGGTAGAGGCCCTCACTCAGAGAAAGTAAGGGTACAGGGTGCAGAAGCCAGGGCCAGCTGAGAGCTGAGGGCAACTCTGCTAATCGACTTAGACGACACAATGGAACGTGAACACTGACGCCAGCAAGTTTCTGAAAATATCACGATCCTCTTCAAAACCCATACACTTTTATGCTAATCAGGAAATCGAGGGTGAGGGGAACACTGCTATATATTGCTCACCAATACATTCTTCTTAACGGAAGTGAAGCTATTTTAAGAATATAAAAAGCTTTTCAAGACATCTGTTTTCAGGGACAGACTACAGTACCAGAAATACTTTTCAGAGCTGGTTCATTTGAAAGTCCATCCCAAAAACAAGGGCAGCCAGCTTTCAGGAAGTACGAAGACATGTTCTGGCAAAAATATTTTCACTTTCCTCGAGTTATATGCTGTCTTCAAGTCCAACTATATACCATATATATATATATATATATATATATATATATACACACACATACATATATATGTATATATATGATTCTTTCTGTCAGCAAAAAAGGGAACCATTTTTTTTAAAACTCTCAAGTTGATATTTTCTTGTTTTTTATAACTCAGAACATAGATGGAGTCAAAATGTCTGCAACTGTCCCTAAATCCACATCTTTAAAGGGTCCTTTTCTCCATTCACATGAATTCATCTGAATCATTGCCGTCCTGTAGGAAACAAAAAAGTGAAACCATAAAAGCCTTCAAAATAAATAACTCACTTTTTAAAATTTACTATTTGTCTTAAGTAATATCCTTATGTCTAACGGTAGAGTTCAGAAAGTAGACAGTAAAATAATTGAATTCACTAAAGTGATGTGAATTCAATTAGTTGTTTAGAATGGCTGGATGAGCAAACTACCTTCTCTAAGGTGTTATTCATTACACGGCCTGAAGTACACAACAGGTGACCAGTGATATCCAAATAATGAAGTAAGGTCCAACCGACCTAGTATAGAGCGTAATAAGCATGACGAAAAGAAAATGTGATTGCTCCTTCAACAAATACACCATAATATGAAACTGAAAAAATACTGCCTCAATATCCTTATGCCAACAATGCTGCCAATACACAAAAATATTTTTGGCCTAAATTCCATTATTTTGAACCTCAAGGTTCTCACATATTGGTGACTTCAGAAGATGGCTTTATTTTTTATTTGTTTTAACTAGGAAAAGTCATTAGGAAGCCATAGGCTAGTTACCAAGTTATCTGGCTTGCCAAGTTTTTGATTAAAAAAACCTTACATGATGGTCTATATAGGGAAAAGGGACTGATTTTTATTGTGTGGCTTATAAACAAGTCCTGAAGAACAAGGACAAAAGTAGAGCCCAGATCCTTTTTGAGCTGGTGCACACACCTAAGAAAACTGCTCCGAAGGCCAACATTCACTAATAGAGTAAGTTCTGGTATATTTGCTTGAAAATGTCACATCTTGAACCTGTCACTTGTTTCAGCTTCTGTCTCTTTCCCACTGCTTGATACCTGAGTTGTTAGAGAAAGGCAGAGGACTTTGGCTTATGGGTACACAGGCTTTTCTCCTTGATAGCTCTTATCAAGGTTGGTAGGCAAGTATGAGATTCAAGTGGAAAACGATGGTTTCTGTGAAGTCTGGTTTTATCTCCAGTCTCTCTGTGCTTCTCTTCAATTAGCACAACAAAGTGAGGTCACAAAAAAAATGCCTTAGACAATAACTGTACAAAGAGCACACTAATGTTTGTCATCTGTGCAAGCACCAGTACTGCGACTGCCCTAGAGGTCTAAACTGAATAATAGCATTAGAGATGTTAAAAGAGTCATCCTGTATCTTTAAAGGTCAGCTTTAGATCCCAAACTGAGAATGAAAAACTCACTAAGATAATTCAGGTTGGTGACAATGAAAGTGCATTACTCCCTATAAAGGCTGTTAAGTTACATTTGCAAAGAGTTCCCATGTATCTGAGAATCTGTATTTTAGGATTACAGTCACTTTTAAATACATATCTGCTATCCAAGACTTCATTTGGACAATTTTTATATTTTCCATTCCCTTTAAGAGTCAATACATTTTTCAATATAGCAAACTAGGTTTCCTATCATCCATTTATAAAATGACATGTTAAAAGTAATTGTTCCGATACCAAATTCACAAAGATTAGGAAGAAATTATAGATCAGAGAGAATTATTCTAAATAGGAGAGTACAAACTCAAAATTAAAGCCAATTTCAAAGTGGAAGATTAATATTTTTCCTGATGAACTTGTATAAGCTGTATTAAAAATCAAGTCTTATCTTACATAAATACCAGCCTTTAACTGAAAAATCAACTGATCATGCTACCAAATTGGATCATAAATGGTCTGCATCCCCTTAACAGAAGATAGTCACAAGAAAAATTAAAGCTATTCTTCTGAAGTATGGATAAAAGCTCTGAGTCCTTCCACTGCAACAAAAAGGATAAATAAACACCTAGCACAAAGGCTTCCCTGGAAACTTGAAGCTGATTCAAACCTGGAGCTCAGGAACAGGGGTAGCAAACAATGGGGGGGGGGGAAGAGCAGGATTAGTAATTCTTTGGTCTACAAATCTGATTTCCTAGTCCTGGACCTTTTAACACACTGTGGACTGGTGACACAGATTTGCATCTATACATTTAAATGCCCTGTCCTCAATGTGTTAACATCTGTCAATAATCAGATGGGTGTGTGTGTGTGTGTGTGTGTGTGTGTGTGTGTGTGTTTCATAATTCCAGAACATCCAAACTTCAAAAATTCATAATGATGGGAATGAAAATACCTAAAATCATAACATATTGTAATACAGATGTCAGATTTCAGCTAGAAAGTAGCCCCTAAGTAACAGAAACCTTCAATCAGCAACAGCCAGCACACAGACAGTCGATTTGGGATAAGTTAACGACTTCTTTTTTTTTTAACTGTTAAACTGTTTGAAGAGTTTCAAGACATCTAAGTATACTTCCCAAAAGGGATTAAATACGTCTTACCTGTTGATACTGATACTCTGTGGGAAAATAGCAACTAAGGACTTTATGGATAAGCAATAATAATGACCATTTATATTCATAAAGGGACTAAGTCAAGTAAGGACTTTCCCATATATGCCCTTGTTTAAGTTTTACAGCAGCCCCATGAGGTAACATGTCTCCTTTTTATTGCTGATGAACACGCCCTCAGAGAGGTTAAATACTTAACTTTATTAGCTTTATCTAATTAGTAAATGAATAATTGAATTTAAGTCTAAAAATTCAAATTCAAGGCTTTAATTAATTACATAATGCTACTCTGGAATTTTTCAGAAATAAATTCTAAAGATACATCTGACTCATAAAGAAGCCTCGGAAATTGAGTTTTTTAAGGAGACAGGAATAAGGATATTGTACTTATTCATTTTTAGAAGAATATATAGATATGAACAAGATGTAAAATCCTACTGACAATTCCAATTCATGCACTAAATATGGGGACTGACTAGATGACCTTTAAGAGACCTTAAATTCTATTAGTTATTTCTAAGCATTAAAGCAGCACTATTTAATAGTATTTTCTGTGATAACGGAAATGTTTTATTTCTGCCCTAATCGGGTAGCCCCTAGCCACATGGTCTGTATGACTGAGAAACTGAATTTTTAAATCAAATTAAATTTTAATTAATTTAAATTTAAATAGCCACAAGCAATCAGTGCCTAGTGCTTTGGAGAACACAGATCTAAAAGCACCTATTTGTAAACTATACTTATGAAACATGCAATTCAGCAAATATATCCACTCAGTTTTAATTCTGTGCACAGACTGTTCAATAACAGCTAAATTGTGCTATCTCCAGATCCTTCAATATAAATTTTGGGAAAGATAGTACTCAGAGACTGTAAGTTCCTGACATAGTTCCAGTAAAAAAAAAAAATCAAGTTAATGCTAAGAAGATCCTTTCAGTACTATAATACGGATCACCACGTTTTACCTTCTGTCCTGAGGAACCTGACACAACCAGTGTTGTCACTTAGATTACAGACGACATCTTAGGGCTAATACTTGCGTTTTATGTGTTAATGCAAGGTGATCATTTTGTTCTCAATTACAATATAGAATCTACAGAATTAGATTAATTAATCTAATTAATAAATAAAGGCATGCCTGCAACTAGCAAAGAAGGGAATGAGTAATGGGCAAGTCCTGTAAATACCAATAGACCTGCACTTCACAACAGACAAGGTACGACACGAGGTGACCTACTTAAAAACAAATCCATGAGCGGTCCACACGGAAGGAGGGCAATGCCTAATAGAATCCACCTGAGTGTACTACAGCTGCCAAATCGCGTCAAGCCATCTGCAACATGTACGTCAATATTGGCCAGGAACTCCATTACTTAAAAGCTCTTAGTGAATTATTTCAAGGCACAACATTAGAGTAAATAACTTGAGCGTACCTGATTTGAAGACATATTCTCAGCTTTCATTAGTGATGAATAGCTCCTAGAAGAGAAAAAATATTTAAAATAAGGTTATCTAGCTGGCAACTATTACATGCACATTACATGTATTTAGCACTGCTGAGGGTCTTTCAAAGAAAATATAATCCCTGCCCTCGAGGAGACTGCAGCATCATAGAAAGGACAAATGTCTATGAAAATAAGTAGGATGTGTATAGCACTTTACAGTTTACAAAGTGCTTGCTCAAACTCATTTCATGTCACCTCCATAGTAACTGTGAGGTAGATGGCGCTATTCAGATGAGGAAATTCATGTCTAGCCCAGGGCAGAGAGCAGGTATGATTTACAGCTCAAGTACATTGCCCAGACTCAGAGATGCTACAGGAATTCAAAAGAGGAAACATATCAGTGTGGGCAGCGTTGGGGGAGGGGGGCACTCTTCTCAGACGAAACAGAATCCAAACTGAGCCGAGCAAAAGGGGAGGATGAGTGAGGGGGACAGATCCGGAGAATAGTTGCAGCAAAGGCAAAGAGATGGCACTAGAACAACATTTCAAACCACCTCAATTAAACCAACTCAAGTGGGGTCTGAAGGCAAGGCTGTGGGGAGTCAGGCTGGGGGTGTGGAGCCCAGTTACGCCATCCTGACTGCGTGAGCTAACAGATGGGGTCAGCAAGAAGCCACAACACACGATGCAGCAGAGGAGAGACATGAGATTCGATAAGTATTCGTCAAATATCCACAATGCACAGGACCCTGTGCTAAGCCTGGGTGGAGGATGGGATGGGAAGGAAATAGAAAAAGATGAAGGAAACAAAGCCTAGCCCTTGAAGAACTTACAGGAGGGGAAAAAAGACCTACTCAGCAACAGCCATGCAAAAAAAGTTCTATTAAAAATACACGAAGAGACCAAGGAAAATGAGACCATATAACACCAGTGCTTTAAAAAGAATAATCTGTAGCAGACAGAAGGGCAGTTAAAGCAAGGCTCATATAATAATACTATTTACCATTTACCAAGTATCTTTTATTTGCTTAGGCATGTGTTATGTGCTTCATAAATTACTGCTAATCCCTACCACCACCTTATAGGACAAGAGGATATAGTATTATGCCCCTGGTACACACAGGAGGCAGAGTCAGGGAAGGTAAGGAAGCTGCCCAAGGTCTCACAGCTGACAAGAGGAGAAGCTAGGTTTTGAACCCAGGCCTTCCTCCTAAGCTCACAACATTCTTGCCAACCTAAGGGCAAAAATCCAGTGTTCACAGCTGTTCTGATAAGAAGGGATAAATCTGAGAGGAATCGACGAGGACATCAAGGTTTCTAGCTTGGGTGATTTGAAGAAAATAACGATACAACTGAGACATGGGAAAATGTTGCAAAGAAGTGCTTGGTTTGGGGGCGTGTAATGGTGCGACATCCAAGTAAATATGAACTGTAGAAACTGAAAATTGATGACTAGCAGGCAGAATAGTCACAGTTAGAGACAATGAGCTGGGAGACATCCAGAGAAATATTAGCAAGAGCAAGTGGTATCTATAAAAAATAAACAGGTAAGATCAATAAACTGCATGAGCAGAAAGAGAAAAGACATGTTGATAAAAAAGTGGTTAGAACAGAGAACCTCGATCCTGGCTGTATTTAAAATCACCAGTGAAGATTAAAACATATATAGATTCCCAGTTGTAGGCATCGACAGTCCAGGTTCAAGAACCACTAAGTGTCCCACTTATATGAATGCATCACACAAATTTATCATTCTTTAGCCCACGTGTTTCCTCTGAGCTCCATCCCATCAACCCAACTGCCTATATGACATTTTTTAGATGCCTCAAAGGTATTTTCAGACTCATACGTCCATACTCATCTCATGGTCTTCTCCCCTCTCAAAAATTGTTTGGTTCTTCTCCAGTATTCCCTAACTCAAAGAACTGCATTACCATCCATTCCATTTCACAAACCAGAAACCCAGGAATCATTCTTTTCCCCTGCCCTTCCCCTCATTCAATCTATCTTCAAATCCTGTCCCTTTATCTACAAAATTGCTTCTCACTGGTCCACTTCTCTCCACCTCCATGTCACCGCCATAGTCCAAGCTACCATTGTCTGTCATGTGGACAACTGCACTAGTTTCCTAACTGTTCTGGCTCCCTTTCCAATCAGGTCAGCAAAGGGACCTTTCCAAAACACAAACCTTATCATACTACCCCTTACTTAAAACTCCTTGATGACCTCACAAAACTCTTAGGATGAAGACAAACATCGCCAATGAGGCCCGTAGGGACTGGCCCCTGGCCCCTGTGCTCCCTCATGCCTGCTGCTCTGGACATTTGGGCCTGCCTTTATTCCTGTGTTTTGCCTTTCTCCCTCCCACACCGGGTCTTTACACTCATAGTGCCCTCTGTTTAGAGCACTCTTTCCACCCCCTCTTTAACTAGCAAACATAGCTTTTATCTTAGCTCAAGAATCAATGTATCAGGGAAGCTAATCTCAGTTACTTATCCATCTATAATTTGACTAATCACTCACTACATATGTGAAGCACTGCGTCATATATAAGGAGATACAAAGATACATATAAGTGCTTCTTTGAAAGAGTTTATCTTTAAAGCGATGAGCTATGGCACACATAGATTTATAGCAAGCAGCAGTAGTAATGTGTGGAAGAACAAAAGGAGGTACAATTAAAGCAGTCATTTCCACATCAACTCCATCATCCTTTTAATCAATGGTATCCCCAATACCTCTTCCTACATGTTGACATTAAACACATCCTACAAGCCTACTTCTTCCTAATATCCCAGGAAATCTATAATGGCTCCTTGTCACTTACAACATGACATTCTGGACTACACAAAACCTTTCATTCTTTTTATTCTTTTATTTGCCTGTGTATGACCTTGACTCTGGCCTTGCCAACTTGTTCATTCCTTGCCTTCCAGATAGCATGGTATAGAAGTGTGGACTTCAGAATTACAGACTTGAGTTTCAATTCCTGCTTTGCCACTTACCAACTATGAGCTTTCACATTTCACACATGAATTCCTTGCTGTAATCTTTGCCTCCAAATCAAGGTCTTTTCATCACAGAAGGAAGGCAGTGCCTTCTTTGTTGTGTTGCCCTATTCACTTCTGAGCAGAAGGCCGATAGATACGATCCCAACTAGAGCTCAAAGAACTTGGACTATACAACAGCACTTCTAGCCATTTTTTTCTCCTGGTAGAATTGAGAAATGACAAGCTTACTGCCATTCTTGTTCAAAAAACTGAGGATAGAAGGGAGTCTAGAGTCTAAATAATGGTATTAGAATTAGAAAGAAGTTGGAATGTAGCTCTTCTGGATAGGGGCTAAGTATTTTTCACTGAAATCACCTGGAAACACTGGAGATACTGTCCGGGATAAGAAGATCCTCTTGGGGCCGGCCGAGTGGCGCGCTGGTTAAGCGTTGGCTTGGAACGCCAGCTCTGAGCAGCAGGACCCTGGTTCGGATCCTACATGAGGGCCAGTGACACTGCCCTCTACAGCTAAGATGGTGAACAACAGCTCCACCTAGAGCTGGGCTGCCCTGAGTTGATGGTGACAGCATAGCCTGCAGCCCCTGCTGCAGTGGGCTGCCGTGAGCTACCGTGAGTGGCTGGCAGCAGGAGTGAGTGGCGGGCAGCCAGCATGAGCTGCCGTGAGCTGTCATCCAAGGGCTGGCGACCGATATGCCTCACCCGGGGAGAGTGCAATGATCACAATACCAATATGGGCCAGTGAAGTGATGTCCTCCACAACTAGGCTGAAGAACCAAAGGACAGCAACTTGTCTGTTCCCCTTCCCTGATTCCCCAACACTGTTCCCTCCCCAATTCCCCAATAAAATCTTTAAAAAAAAAGAATATCCTCTTGGGTTTATTTGTGGAATCCCCTAAAGATTCAACAGTCAATTTTTTAAGCAATCACAGCAAGTGAAGTGGACGTTCCTTACCAGATGGTCCAAATAAAAGAATCAACTGTTGGTAAAAGCAATGGTATTTTCACTGTCAGAAAGCTAAGTGAAAGACTTTAGCATAAGATTTTATAGCATAGCATTCCATCTCTTGGGTGGAAGAGTCAAAGGCAGAAATTAAAGTGATGCTAGCACTACAAATGTATAAACGCAGATTATAAAACATCAGAAGCTTAGAGTTTGTTGTTGTAATTTCACAAAAGCTGCAGAATACGGTATGCAAACCGCAGCTCTGCATACGCCAAGCAAATCTTCGCTATGTCACCGCATTGGTTCCTGGCGCTACATCCCTGCTTCACTCTTCTACCATCTGCAGCACGTGGAAGTCATTTTTGTGGCATGTTTCACAGAAATGGACACACCAAATGTTTTTGGTTTTCTGAGGCTCATGATAATTTATTAAAAATAAAGGAGGGATAAAATAGTGTAGGAAAACAAGGACTAGAAAAGTGATTTTTAATTTATTCCACTTAGGTTTTCCTTTTTATATACATGTACCAGAGTGATATAAAATTTACATCTGAAGAAACAAAATGAAAAAAATACTAGTGACAGTTTGGAAAATGGGCATGATTCAACTTTTGAAGCCAAAATTTTATCCAGTAACAATGAGAATTTTCCCTCCTCACTTTAAATAAATATTTTATATATTGTTGACACTATGAAGCAAGTCCAGAAGATAGGAAAACTGTGTTTTAGTGGCTGGATTCGTTTGTTTAAATGCTTACAACTTTTTAAACTAGTACAATCAAACATAGAAAATCTCCTAAATATTAGTACTATACAGCTTAATCTGAAACAAAAAATGTATTTTAAGGTGAACTGTGGCAGCTATATGTTATCTGATTTATTTATATGGGATAAATACTACTTTAATATTGAATAGACTGAACAGAGGGCTGAAGAGTGTGGTCATGGTGTGTGTGAACTTGAGAATCAAACTGAGACTGGCTACATAACTTGGGGCAAGTGACTTAACTGCTTCTCAGCCTCAGTTTCCACTGTGACAAAGTGCAAAAAATATCTACCTCATGTGACTATTATTAGGATTAAATGAGATAAAGCACAGTATAGTGTTTGGCAGATGACAAATTTCCAAAAATGTTAGCTCTCTTTCTTATTAAATTTTATAAGAGAATTAAATGATATTATATTTCTAACATATAAAACATTGGTTTCCAATCAAAACAGTTAGATTTGTAAAGGGCACAAAAAGGCATGTTTTGAATTTTTCCCCACTCCACCCTAAAAACAAAAAAGAATAAACTACTCTAAATTCTGCATCACTCAAAATTCTACACATTTTACCATGCTAATAAAGTTGATCATTTTTTTTTTTTAAAGATTTTTTATTGGGGAATTGGGGGGATGGGAACAGTGCTGGGGAATTGGGGGAAGGGGAGCAGACAAGTTGCTGTCATTTTTTGTTCTTCAATCTAGTTGTGGAGGGCGTTGCTTCACTGGCCCAAGTTGGCACCATCATTGCGCTCTTCCCGGGCGAGGCAGATCAGTCTCCGGCTTCTGGACGGCCGCTCACGGCGGCTGCCGGCCGCTCACGCTGGCTGCTGGCTACACACGGTAGCCCATGGCAACCCACTGCCACAGGGACTGCAGCCCACGCCGTCACCGGCGACGCATGGCAGCCCAGCTCCAGGNGGGCAGTGTCACTGGCCCTCATATGTGGGATCCGAACCGGTGCCCTCTGGCATCCCAAGCGAGTTCTTAACCATCGCGCCACTCGGTCGGCCCTAAAGTTGATCATTTTTCTTTCACTCCTAACAGAATGCAAACTCACAATTCTAGGTCAGATCAAATGTTTAAATCTATGCATTAGTCTGATTCATGTTAGCAGATGTAATTCAGGGTAACACTTCTGGAGTTTGGCATTTGAATATTGTATTTTAAATGAAGCTCCTCATCCTCTTTTAGCAGTATTTTAACTGCTATTTATTGTTTAGAAATGCAGTGTTTTGGAGCAGGCCTCACTACATTAATTACTTTAAACTTTCGAAATGTAGAAAAGAGGTTTCAAAAAAGCTTTTAAGAGTTACCAGCACTGGCCTTTAGAGCTAAGATAACTTCGTTCAAATACCACAGCTAGTCAATGTTAAACACTTAATATAGCATCTTTTCTTTTCCTGAAGATGTTTACAAACCTAACTCTGAAGATAAGCTATAATGCTTTATCCAAAAATAAATCAGCTGTTTTATTTCACACTCTCTCATATTCTGCCCCTAAAAAAGGGCAATTCATGTGACCAATGCATTAGTATAAATACCTTTTTTCTAACTCGTTTAAAGCTCTGAACTTGTTGTATGTCCCTCCCTCCACCAGTATGTGATTCTTAAGGGTCAATCCCTGATTAAAACGAACAGGAAAGAATCCTGGAAGTCAATACTGATACACAGCTCCAACATACCTAAGTTCGTCCATTTCCCTCTTCTTCTTCATCTCTTCTTTTTCTTTCCTTTTCATTTCCTGGATTTGGGCTTTTTTCTCATTCCTCTCCTCGCGGTCTCTGCACTCCTTCTCTGCTGCTAGGTCTGGGAACCGCTCCATTTTGGTCTTTTCTAATCGGTTCAAAATCTCATTCACTTTCTTCTCCACTGTCACAATGTTCACCTTTGAGGAAGATAGGGGAAAACATATTGAATCTTTAGTGTATGGTTTCCCCCCAGAACAGGTGAGAGGCTTTCCCAGGGTTTAGCAACCCAGCTTAATTCCCTTTCAAAAACACACATGCCGAACCCTCGACAACAAAGGTGTTAGAAAAGACGGATATTCCACTCAGTGGCAGGACTCGCCTTCCTCCATGGTGCAGAATACTTACATCCTTTTGCCTGTGAAAGCCAATCTGCCCCACATCCATGTCAGCTGTTTTCTTCAGGTTAGACCACGGTGTATAGACCACACTAACGTTGTTCATCTTGCAGCCTGCCAAGAGAGACTGTCTTCAACATGCAGGCAGGATGCCACCGAGCAAGGTGTTCCCTTCCTCACAGGCAAAAACACCATAATCCAACACAGGAAAGGCCTTAGAATGAACACGGCACCAAGTGTTTCAAACCACAAAATTGTTCTTAAAAAACCACTCACAAATGGCAAATGGTAAAGCTGACAAACACAATTTGAGCACAATATTATGGTGGAATGCAGGGGTCCACTTCTGAGACTCCCTAAAATTGAATGCAGAACTTACTCTATATGTTTTTTAAAGAGAAAACTCAAAGAATTCCTAGATCAATAAAGGTTAAGCAGCAAGATAAAGCAAAAAGCCATGGCCTGGGGTTCAAGAGACCTGCACTCTATCCTGGCCCTTCCACAAACCAGCTGTGTCACTTTGGGAAAGTTCTCATGGCACTCAGAATCTCATCTGAAACATGAGGAAATTGGACTAGCTTAGAATCTTTGTTTCTTTTAGCAGTGAAACCTCTTTTACCAAAGAAAACATATCAAAGTAATCAAAGCAGAGATGCTTTTGATGAAAGGGGTGCCAGTACCCTGTTCATTCCTGTTCCTCTCCCCTCATCACCTCTACCTCACACTTCCCCTCTACACCGATGGCCTCCATGGCAGCTCAAAGAATCAGTTTAATCACTGGTCCAACACTCTTTAAGGCCCTTCAAAATTAGATGGCAATATATTTCAAGTTTATGAAATCACCACATATATTGGAGAAATCTGATGAATACCATCTTACCTAAGTGATCAAAGTGGATATCACCAAAAATGGGTCAAAAGGCCAGGTACTATGTGCCTACTGACTGCAATGGGCAAGACTTCACTTAGGAAGTATTCCCACTGACAATCCGTAACGTCATACTACTCAACAGGAAGCATCAGACCAATTGAGTAGCAGGATATTCTACAACTGGTCTTCACTCTGAAAGTATCAATGTCTTGAAAGACAAAGAAGTGTCTCCAAGATTAAAGGAGACCAGATAGACAAGTAAACATAACACATGATCCTGGATCAGAAAAAATGCTATGAAGGGACAGTAGTGGGACAGCTGGGAAAGCTTATATACAGACTGTCTATCAGATAACAGTATTTGATGCATGTTAAATTTCCTTAATTGATCATTGTAATGTCCTGTTCTTAGGACATACTGACGGCTTATGATGTCTATAATTTTCTTTCAAATGGTTCAGCTAAAAAAATTAATAATGAATATTATGAGAGAAAACCAAACAAATATGGACAAATTGCTGAATCTAAGTGAAGAGTATATGAAAGCTGTGTTTTTCTTGCAACATTTCTGTAGGTTTGAGATTTTTTTCAAAATTAAGTTTTTAAAAAATCTCCAATGTGCAAGGGGGATAAAAGCATGGATTAGATCATGGATCCTACTTTCCAAGATTAAGAGAGGGCAGATAAGTACATAAAAAACTTCAATTAAAAGAACTGATCAAATATTGGAAAGGTAAAGTGCTAACGTAGTACAGAGAGGGCAGTGGCCACTCAAAGCTGGAAGGAGGTGAATTCTCCATGGGGGCATAACTAAGATGTGTTATCGTAATGGGTGAGAGAGAAGACTAAGGTCAGACTGTCTGACTTCGAATGCGGCCTCTACCACATGTCGGCACACTGAGACCCTGGGCGAGGTCCTTAATTTTCTTTGAGCTCTGCTTCCTTATCTACAAAATGAAAATAATACCTAACTCAGTATGGTTGATAAATGAAATAATTTGTAAAGTTTTACCACAGCGCCCGGCATATAATTGTTAGCTATTACAACAACTACTCTGTGGGCCTTGAACCTGAACCTGGAACTGGACTTGTGATGACTGACGAGGAAAAAACTCAGAGCAGAGGGAACAATCCAGTCATGTGTTGGTCAACGATGAACTACACAGATGACGGTGGTCCCATAAGATTAAATGGAGCTGAAAAATTCCTAACATCTAGTGATATATATAAATAGTATCTGGAAAAAGACACTCAAGAGGTTTGTTTGTCCATGACTTCAAAGGATTTTCCAAGGAGAAGCCTGCAATAATCAACAAAGGTGTGGTTGAGATGGCAACGAACTTGAACCTGGGTGTGGGTGATGTGACACTGAGGAGCTCCTAGAGGTGATTCCTGAGAAACTGACTAATGAGGAGTAATTAGAACTGGAACAGGAACGCATAGCTGAAGAAGAGGCAAGAGAAAAGGAAACTGCAGAAGAAGAAAAAGAAGAAACCCAAGAAAATTCACAGTGAAGGGTTTGCAGCTTTTGCAGACCTCAACAAGCTCCTTAAAAAGTTAGGAAACATGGACCCCAACACCAAAAGGTTTTCATTAACAGAGAAGAATATTCATGGTGCATTATCTGCTTACAAGCAAATCTATGATGAAAAAAACAAACCAAGCAAACCACCGTGGACATATTTCTGAAAAGAGTGACACCTCCTCAAGGAGAGCCTCAGGCAGGTACTTCAGGAGGAATTCCAGAAGAAGGCAGTGTGATCATCGGGATGACAGGTCCATGCGTGTTCCTGGCCCTGAACACCTTCCAGTGGGACAAGAAGTGGAGGTGGGAGACAGTGATGATGGTGAGCCTGACCCAGTGGAGGCCTAGGCCAGTGTGTGTGTTTGTGTCTTTGTTTTTAACAACAAAATTTGTAAAAAGTAAAAAAAAAAATTAAAAATAAAGTTTACAGAATAAGGTAAAGAAAGAAAATATTTCTGTACAGATGTACAATGTGGGTTTTAAGCTGTTATTACAAGACTCGAAAAGTTAAAAAGTTTATAAGTAAAAAAGTTACAAGACTATATTGAAAAAATTTTTTATAAATTTAGTGTGTCATTAGTGTACAGTGTTTATAGTCTATAGTCATGTACAGTAATGTCCTAGGTCTTTCTTTACATTCACTCACTGCTTACTCAAATGACTCACCCAGAGCAAATTCCAGTCTTGAAAGCTCCACTCATAATAAATGCCTTATACAGGTGTACCTGTACCATTTTTATCTCTTATACCATGTTTTTACCATCCCTTTTCTATGTTTCGATACACAAATACTTAGCACTGTGTTATCATTGCCTACGGTATTCAGTACGGTGACATGTACAGGCTTGTAGCCCAGGAGCAACAGGCTGCATGTGTGGTGGGGGTTATACCATCTATTTGTGTAAGTTCATGCTTAGATGTTTGTACAATGACAAAATTGTCGGCCGATGCATTTCTCAGATGAATCCACATCGTTAAGCGACACATGACTATATAAGCAAAGGCACAAGGTAGAAAAACAGAAAATATTTGCTTTGGCTGGAATGTGAAATATGGGGAGGAAAAAGAATTCCGTAGTCAGATCAAAGATGTTTAAATGCCAGCTTAAAAGGCTTGAACTTACTTATATGGACAAGGTGGGGTGTCATCAAAAGTGTCTTAGCTTTTAGAAAGTTTAATCTGGCAGATGATTACAAGATGAACATAGAACGGGCAGACCAGATTCTATGAAGACAAATAAGTTTAACCCCAACGCCCTTGGCTCTGAGTGCTGAAGGTGGTCAGTGAGGGAGGAAAATATTTTCACTACACAGTGATGCCAGTGGGAGCGTTCTCAGCAAATCTTACAGCAAAGACAATCTTCACCTCTCTGCATCCTCTGCTACTGACTCATGAGACTGAGATCCTTTTTCTAAGTGAGCTGTTGCTGTGGGAAGCTGAAGAGGAGATGAGTAATTCGTGTCAGGAGTCTTCTCTCCTTTTTAGTGATTTTCCTCTCCTCTTTTCCTGTTTTCTCAGGAACTAGTAAACTATAAAAAGATTAGGAAGAGGCTGGGCCAAGAATAGAGTCCAAAACTCTTAATAAAGTCACATCTGCTAGTCAGGGGCATGGAAAGGAGACAAGAATACATCAAAGAGGTTGCAACACACAAGGAAAGAGGATAACGATGGTTTTAATTATTACTTTTATGTCAATAACTGAAGATCTTAACTGGAAATCTTAGACACTCTGCTCTACTCATAAAAATGGAATGTCCTAAAACTAACCGCAACTTAATGATTTATAGAGTTGAAAATCAGTGGCTCTGCTGGATAAGGATTCCACTTTCTTTGGCTAGGTACCTGATTCGGTAAAGCTGCCCGAGTTAGACTCAGGAAATGCAGTCTAAGTGATGGGGGAGAGGTTACACTAACCAGCTCTTGTTCTGTGATCAGTAACCCCTGGTACCTGGTACTGGCTATGTGTCTGCCCCATGCTTATCTTCTACCCAAACCATATTTCTTCCCAACCCTCTGGATCTTCCCCCAACTTCCTAACCAACCAAGCTTACCTATCTAGGTCTATGTCCTACACCTAAAATCCAATCTACTAACTCAAATGTTCATAGCAGAGCACCATTTCTTGGCTCCTCTTTTTAACTCCCACCTCTACCCCAGTAATTGTCCTTCTTAGCCTGTACAGATTAAAGCATGTACTGTAGAAACAGACAAGCACCAGGCCCAGTGTTACAGGCCCTACCTAAAACACTTAACGCCAGTTGTCTTCAACCCTCTCTGCACATTGGAAGCATCTGGAGAGCACTGCAAAAATACTGAAACTCATAGATCACCCCAGACCAATTAAATAAGATTCTCTGGGAGATAAAGATCAACTGACTTGATATCTTCACAATTTAAAGGGAGAAACAAAATATGTAAGGGGATAAGAGAAGAAAATGTAGGAAAGAATGATTTGGAGAATTGAGTTGTAGTATCTAATGACAAATGATGGAAATAAAGACATCAAACAGCTTTAAAAATAAAGCCATGAGACTCTCTTGTTTAGCTATTAACATAACCTAATTTCCAAAAGTCTCTCTACAAATAAATAACCTTAAGGGTAGGTACATCTCAACAACCTTCTATTCACGGTAAGGAAAATGGTAAATTGATAGAGGGCCATAAGCATGAGAGAGTTGGAAAGACTGGTTTTTAGTTCTTTGATAGGTAGCAGAACTGCCAGCTTAAAGAATAAAACAGGGCGAAGGCATATTAAAGGTTATTCCTTTGACTCAACCCAAAGTCAGTAACATGTTCTCTAAAATGTAACCCATTTCCGACACAGGTAAATCAGTGCTAATTCTGAAAACACCTCTAGGGAAACTGACCTTGAATGCTATTGGCCTTCACAAGATGGGCACAGTCCATCAGTACCTCCTTTGGAATGTCTTCTATCTTCTCCCCCTAAAACACAAACCAAATGGTCACTGATCAACACTGGAGCATTCATAGGACTTTGCTGCCTTATGCACAATTTTATTAAAAGCAGTGGCTCTTCAATTATATTTCAGAACATTGAAAAATGAAGTCTGTTATGGGAATGCTGATTTAGAATAAGACAGTAATATGGAAAAAAAACCACAGGATAAGACAGAAATACAACACAGTATTAATTATAATTACTTCTGAGTAATTTTCCCCCCTTCTTTTTCTCATTCTTACTTCTAGAAACTTTATGGGGAAGCGGCGCCTATTTTTGACAATTGGAAGTCTTCTTAGCTGAGGTCCCTACAACGTCCCTCTCAAAGAGGCATCTTATGGTTTTAGGTCTCAAACATCTAGCAGGTTATCTATCCTCAGCCTTAATCAAGCAAGCTCTTGGTGTGGTAGATAAATCCACCCACCATAAGGGAGAAATAATACTGATTCGTTTTGTCTACAGATACTGTATCAAAGTCAAAGCTGAATAAGCAAAGTCATTTCAAATGAACAAAAATATTCCAGAGGCAAGAGCAAGTGGAAACCAACTAAGGAACACGATTACAGAAACACTTCGGTCTGGGAATGAAATGTTCTACCTACATAAATATTTTATGTAAATTAAGTCATTCCATTATGTTTCTACATTTTTTTCTTTACTTTAAATGGGAATCTTTCAAATACATAAATTTTGACCAAAAATTAAATGATGTAAGTTTGTCACTACTTTTAACGATGCATCCCATCCTGTGCAATTCCCTGTCCACTTAAACAGAGGATTATGAATTTAACATCTTGATAACAGTGTCATCATTATGAACATCAACCATCATACTAGGCTATAATATGGTGACAGTGATGCCTTCGGGGGCTCCTACAATACACAGAAGCTGATTGACCCTATACTAAATAAATCAAAATGAATAATTAAAAAACAAAACAACAGCTATCAGTTTTTGAGTACCCACCACATGCCAGGTACATAAGTAAACAGCCATATGAAATAGATAATATTATCCTCACTTTACCAATGAAGAAAATGAAGCTTAGCGCAATTAAGTAACTGAACCAAGGTCCCACATATCTAGTAAGTGACAGCTGAGAGATAAACCCAGGACTAGAGCCATGCTGTAAGAATTGGCCGCAGAGTATGCTCCTTACAGAGTTCTGGTGCAAATGTTAGTTTCTTGACCTTGACTGATGTCAGGTTATGTCCCAATATCCCTTCTTACTACCTGTGGCTGTCACTATTCCTGAAGCAATCTCCTCTCCCTGTTTTGCAACTTCGAAATGATAGGAGCAGACAAAACGCATTCAGCTTAGCATTATGCATCAAGTCACAGAAAAACAAACTGAGTGGAGCTTCTAAGGAACTCTCAATATGTAATGGTCAGAATTTTGACTGTGGACTTTGTGCCCTCTATGTTAATATGATAAGAAACCTCTACATAAGTGAGATATTTCCTAAGGGTTTTTAAAAATCAAAGAAGTCTGGGAAAGAACACAGCTGAATGAATATCTATGATCTTCAAGGTTTGGGTTGAATTCAACTGAATTCAACAGAAAAGAATTTAACACATACCATGCTTAGCATGTGCCAGGCATTATTCTAAGTGCTTTGGATAGGCGGGCTCATTTAATCTTCACAATGACCCAGTAAGACAGGTACTGCTAGCTCCTTTTTGCAGATGAGGAAATGGGCACAGCCAAATGACGTGCTCAGAGTCACACAGCTAGCACGGACCAGAGCCAGAATTCAAATCCAGACCACTTAGTCTGACTGCATCTCCAACACTTAACCTGGTATCTACTAGAAACAAAGGGCTGTGCCGTTTACTGCAGGAGATCAACCAGGTAAAAGTTCCTTAAGGGGCACATATTTATATGGAGCACATCATGTGCTTCCAAAAGAAAATAACAGTAAACTTCTATTCAAACAAGTAACAACTGGTGGTAATGTGAATTTGGGGCAACCACTAGTATTTCCATTTTCTAACACAGCAGAACCCAAAGAAAAAACTTTAATCTGAATCAAGAGGAAACTTGGTAGCACCACACTCTATTTTCTCTAAACTTAAATTAGTTCCAAAATGGCAAAAAGTTGCCTAGGAGAACTCAGAGTTTTGTTCCAGCACAGAGTTCACAATCTTCCTCTTTTCCTTTACAATACAGTCTCAGACACATTAACAGTATAAAGATGGGCCACAATGTTTGACCTTGCTAGTAAATTAAGAAGTGAATATTATAACCATAATGAAGTAAGCATCTTGTATTCATTTGACATGGTCAAAGGCTATTTTTTTTTAAGTTAACGTTTGGGAGGGGGATGGATGGATGGATATATATATATATATATATATATATATATATATAAATTAGCATAATACTTTCAGAGTGCAATCTGGCATAAAAGGAATTACCAAACTTTATAGCTTTTGACCCAGTAATTCCATTTCTGAGAATTTCTATAAAAAATAATTCAAAAGAAAAACAGAAAGTAGTTCAAAAAAGACATTTCTTATTGGAGAGTCATAATGCTGAAAGCTGTAAACAACATAAACGCTAACACAAAAGCTTTCATATTAATTGTGGCATGTCACCAACTTAAAGCAGCCAGCCAAAATAATAAATATGAATGTAATAGTAGCATGAAAAGTTTATAAACTGTCACTTTAAAAAGTAATACAGCGGATGGGGGGTGGGGGGTTGTTACTTTGTGAGGGTGAAAAGGGTAACTATTGCATTGTTCTGTACACCTGAAACTAACAATAAATAAATAAATTAAAAAAAAAAAAGTAATACAGCAACCAGAGGACGCCCGGATGGAATGTAGACGGAGACAAAAGAATCTAGCTGTATTATAAGTAGGTGACACAACATCACTGAAGAGGGCAGGGAGCTGCTTACAAGTAACTTTGGAAAACAGTGTTTTGACTGGAAACTGTAAGGCAAAAAGATGAAAATAACTCCACGTAAACACTGTACTTTAGTAGGTAAAGCTGTTTCTGAGGATGCAGGTTAACAAATCTGAAACCACTTACATATTGAAGTCAAATAAATAAGCAAGTGGATGGTGGATGCTGGGAGGCAGGCTCCTCAGTCTCGGAGATGGACATTACAGATAAGCAAGGAGGAAAGGCTAGAATGGTCCCTGTAATGGATTCATCAAAGACATTAGCATGAGTTTGTCTTTGGCTTAATGTAGATACAGATGGAGAGTCACACAAACAATTCATACGAGTGTATGCACACATGTACTTCCCAGCTCTGTCAGGTGAGAGGGCCTAGAAGCAATGAGCACACCGAGTCCAGACCTTGGTTTCTAAATACCATTCCCCAATAAAAGGAACCAGAGTTCCTTGGAGAAATGGCTGATTCTGGGTCTGGGGCAGGGAAAATACAAGATGACCCTGGAGCATCTTGTCGCGCCAGAAAGAAAGGAAGTGTTCAAAAAACAAAAGGATGCAAGCATGTAAAAGGAACACAGTAGCCAAGCTGAAAGAGCTCCAGCCAAAGCTGGAACAATCTGAGCAACAACATAGTGCTAGATTATAATCCAAAGTATAAAATAAATAAATGAGTCCATACTGGAGCAAATAAATAATTGAATAAATGGGGGAGAAGAGACAAATCTTCCTTACAGAAGAATTCCAAACAATGTTATGTAGCAACTTCCCACTCCAGGAAGTGGAGCTTGCTTAATTCCATCCCCTTTCCTTGAGTATGGGCTGGACTTAGTGACTTCCTTCCAAATAACAGAGTACAGAATGGAGAAGAAAGCAATTCTACAATGGAGAAACCTAGCAAACACTTTCCTGGCCAGGCGATCAAGGTTAACACCATCAGTGATAAGTCCTGTCAATGTATGAGAAGGGCACTTCACCTCTCTGATAGTCATCCCCCAAAACCCGTAACTCCAGTCTAGTCACGACAAAAACATCAGATAAACCCAAACTGAGTGATACTCTATAAAATATATGACCAGTACTTCTCAAACTGTCAGGGTCATGAAAAATAGGGAAAGAGTGAGAAACCGTCACAGACCAGAGACAAGGCAGACATGACAACTAAATGCAATGTGGGACCCTGGACAGGACCCTGGAACAGAAAGAGGATATTAATGCAAAAAATGGTGAAATCAAAATAGAGTCTGGAGTTTCATTAATGTACCAATGTTGGTTTCTTAGTTCTGACAAATCTACCACGGTAATATAAGATGTTACAATAAAAATGAGGGAAGCTAGGTGTGAGGTATATGGGAACTCTGTACTCTATACAACTTTTCTGTAAATCTCAAATCATTCCCAAATAAAACATTTTTAAAAAGCAATACACATAACAAGTATACATACCCTAAGATTCAACTACATAAAATATAACATGGATGTGAGACAGATTGGAAAATAGTGGTTTTATGTTATTAGGGAACATAAAATGTTTTCCCTTTTCAATTAGAATGCTGTTTTAAAACTCCCCAAAAGCCATGAAAACTGGGAACATCTGCCCTTGGTGAGGCAGGACAATCACATGAGCCTGAGCACAGGAACCACAACATGACCTCCACTGAAGACACAAAGTCCAGTAGTATCAACTGAAATGAAAGGGAGAGAAAGCAGAGGTGAGAGACAATACACCTGAACTGGCAGAACAGGACAGTGCTTCCAGCTGGGACGTGTGCACTATGTCCAAGTCTCAAAAATTATCAGAATTTCCCTTAGTGATTTTCTGGGGCAGGGGGAAGACATCTCTTCACTTGCTACTTTTTAGACTTTTGTACATATTACTCTCAGCAATTTAATTGCAGAAAGAGGATACAGGACAAGATATGATGCTCATCACTAAAGTCATGAATCCAGGTTTAAATCCAGTTACCTTATGTAATCGAAGATATACATGAGCCGAAGAGAGTTTGTCCACATGAAACCTACAAAGAACGAAAACCACTTTTAGCAAGAGGTACAAGACAAGCATCTCCTCAGGCCACGTGCATTTATGGCATTCCAAAATCCAGGACGTTATTAACGCAGTGCCTACCACATGCTAAGCATCATGGGGCGTGTAAAACAGTCATCATCTCTACAGGGCTCACTATCAACTGGGAGACGGAAGAAAAACATGGAAGGTTCTGCAGCTGTGTGACACGAAGTGCCAAGATGAGTACTGAGACAGTAAATGTTACATGCTCTGGGAAGGGTGATATTTCAAGTGAGAAAGAGCTATCAGTGACCAAAGGCTTCACCGACAACTGAGACCTGGTAGGTGCCTGACTGAAATACAGAACTTAGAGAAAACAGGGAAAGGAATTTCAGATGAGGAGAGAAGGGAATGAAAGAAGTCAGCAAGACTCCAATGCTGCACGTCTGGGAGACCTGCAGGACCACTGACAGAAATACCTTATGGTGGGAAAGGGTACCAGTTTAGAGAAAAAGATGAGGGATTTGGTTCAGGGCATTCAGAGTTTCAAGCAATGGCAAAACAATCCAAAGAGAATGTCAAGCACAGAGTTGGGAGAGTCAGGTGAGGACTGCAGACAGTAACAGACCACATCGTAAAATTGGTCAGCCCAGCAATTCGCCCAGCCTTATACCCAACAATGGCACAAACTTATGTCTCCTGGGAAAGCATGGTGATTGCCCTTTATGACACCCTCCTAAAAACATGCAGAATCCCTTCCCACACCAATGTCCTAAATTTACCTTTCAATAAGGCTCCATTGTCCACCAACCTAATTAAATCTTTTAAAACTTACTTCCTCTTACACCTAGTCCAACATTTTGGGATATTAAGTTTTTCATATTTACAACTCACCAAAGGAAGCTGACTTTCTTCCCAACACCCAGAGACGCCCACAGAATCCTAGTATCAAACAATAACACACGATTCTCACTCTGTGATCCTGTTAACTTCAGTCAGCTCTTCCTTAGTCCTTACCTTTCCAGACTGAAGAATGTTCAGCAAAATTCTAAGGAAGCACCACTACATCCCATTACATATTTCTTTAGACATTTTCTTAGCATGAATGTATTTTTTAGAAGGGAAAATGGGCACACATTCACACCGAGTACAAGGTGGAGGCAGTGTGATTCTATATAAAGGTTAAGGTTATACTATTTCTAATGCCCTCTTGAAAGGTTAAGCATCTTGCTAGTCACTTTGGATAGAGACAAATATGCATTTTTGGCCGTCTATGATGACTCTAGGCTTTATTCTTAACCATTACTGATAGCCAGGAAATGGGCATAACATCTTAGTTTATTTTTCTCTAGCTGGTTCATTTACTCATTTGCATTCCCGTGTAAGAGATTCTTACTGATTATCATCTTCAGCTTGGCATTTTCCACCCAGAAACTGTGCTTTTTGCAAATCTAGAAATTATATATTTCATTACCCTCTTTCAGGATCTTAGGAAAATACCCCATTAGTAAGCAGACCCAACTGAGAAGTAACTTCTCCCCTTTCAACTTGTTTTAAGCCATTTCTCTATTTATAACTCTCCTATATACCCATAATAGCTCAATTGTATTCTGATTTTTCTTAAAGGTCTCTGATGTGAAATTTTACCAAAAGAAACACACAAATGGTTCAATGTACATCTAACTGATTCATACATAATTAGTCAAAGTACTAAGTAAGACACACACGGGAATACCACAGCTGATATCCACCAACTTCAGGCTCATAGGCACACTTCTACAAAAGGCAGGGGGATGCATGGAGTACGGGGCTTTGGGAGAAATGCAAAGCAAACAAACAAAAAAGCCAGCTTTGTAAACAAACTATCTGGAGAGTGAGTTTCCTTGAAAACCTTTCCAAACCACCCAAAATGTTTACTCAAAGTTAAAATTATGCCCACTAGTTCTCTAGTTCGCTCTGGTCGCTATCTTCCTCTCCCTGCTTAATCACTGTTACCTTTACCGAATGCAGAGACGACAAACTTCAATAAATGAGAATCAATGACTTAAGGATGAAGAGATGCAAAGCCCCAGAAGCTGGGTCATTTAATTCCTTAAAGTGGGATCTCGGGAAATACTACTCCAAGGAGTTTGGAGGCGGTAAACCCACACTACTTCTATTTTCCTCTGTTTGAAGATAAATTTAGTTCCTACCTAGAAAAATCCTTTGCTTAAAGGCACCTCATATAAACTCAGATACTGATATTCACAGAGGTCAAGTCCCAGCATCTGCGTCAGAGTGAACCAGTAAACCAGGAAAATCTGCCCCAGGATGCAGATCAACCGAACCATTCTTAGCATTCCCAGGAATATTTCCGGGGTTGACAGTTTATGTCCCAGAACAGGTCTTGGATTTAGGGCTATTCCAGCTCACAGCAGATCTCGAATAGCCCCAGAAAGCAAAATTCAATCACTTTCAATGATAATCTCAAGACTATTAAAGAATGTCAAAACGGGTAATAGGTGTCTAGGTATCTGCAGACACTGGTTTGGTTTAGTAGTATTCCAGGAGACAGTCAACCTTAATGAAATGAAAAACCCAAGTCATAATACATGGGGTGTAAATTAGAAATTTCTCTTCCATTTAAATTTTTTTTTTTTAATGTCAGGTAAAAGGCTGTGGTAAACTGACCTTCATGGTACATCTGAATATATAACCTTTTCTATGCAGGTTTTTCTGCCTAAAACCTGACATGTTAAAAACTTACAGGAGGTAATTACATTAACAGGTGCAGCTATTCTTATCTCCCTTGATAGAGTCTGGAGATATTTAGTCTTTAAGGACAACTGAAATAATCCAGCTAGGGATGACAGTACTTATGTCTTATTGTGAAGAAATGTCCAGTGGAGATAATTTCTAGACAGGCAGAAGCTATCAATTAGGAAGTCAACAAACAGTTGCTGAATACCTTCTATGTGCCAGATCCTATGCTGGGTACCGGTGATATAGTAAATAAAACAGATCACTGTTCTGATGGGGTTTATAGTCTAGGTTTTAGGAAGGTAGGCCACACCCAATCCAGAAGCCCTCAGCAGTAGAAACTGCCCACCTGAGGTCAGGGGGTACCAAGTATTGTCTACCTTAATGACATACTTGAGTTCAGAAGACGGGCCATTGTGTTGGGACAGGGGGCAGATAAATGATTAAGATTCCTCAGGTTTCCAATGCTCCTTGCTTCCTGGAGTACGGACTTTAGAGGGCAGACAGGAAAGCATTTCCACTGGGGTCATAAATTAGTCCCTTCAAAATGGGGTATGCTGGAGTAGGGGAGGAGGCACCCTTCAGTGGGTGCATGCAGACAGGTCTGGGGATAGAAGTCAGCAAACTGAGTCGAGGGATAACTTAAGTTAGTCTCTGCGTCATATTTTTCCTATTGATGTCCAAGGCTGTATACCTTATTAGAAATCAATCAATTCTTCTGAAAAATGGCAGCCTAAACTCTGTCACTATAGGGGATTAAGTTAAGGGTCTGGGCCCACACGTGGAGAAAAGAGGTCCAGACAGGTCCTCAGCCATAGCCAGAGAGAAGAAAGAAGTTACCTGCAGCTAAGAGTAGCAGCCTAAAGGGAAAGAAACAGTGATTTACAACTAGAACTGCCTGGGGGGCCAGCAACAACCAGAACACATCTATTTAGTCTCTCTTAGCCTTAGTTTCCTAAGCTGAAAAATGGGCATAATACCAGTTAATTATTTCCCAGGGTTGTTGTAAAAGTAAATGTATTAGTGGAGATAAGCACTTAACAGTATTTGGCGCATAGTTAAGCGCTCAATAAATGTTCACTGATACTATCATTAAAGCAACAGAATCTGTGGGAAACAGTATTTGGTGTGGGTGTTGAGAGCTGTGGAGAACATATCCTGCTCATCAGGTAGAATTAGGCTCCAGGAGAGAGACATCACAAGGGTTAGAGTGAGCAGTGGAAACTGAAGGTAGAAAAAGGAAGCAAACTGAGTCTGAGAGTGTTACAAGAAAGAAAAACAAAGTTATCAGGAGTCCATGACTTCCTAAAAATCCTGAGTGGTAGAAAAACTCATGTGATGTGCTACAGCAGTTAGTAAAAAGCATTAAACTAAAATGAAGGTTTTTTGGTTTTTTTCCCCATTCGTTTGTTTTGTTGTTTTTTTGGACTGGGTTTTGCAAATTGCAAAATAAATTATCTTGGATGCAGTTTTAAAAAGTATATGTTATTTTTTAAATTTCCCTAAATTATTTTAGAAAGAGGGGGTAGGGGCTGGATCAAGACTGGGCTAAACACATGAGGGAGTTGAGAAGACAAAGGGAACCCAGTCTGTTTTCTTTAAAGCTGGATCTGGTCAGATGCTCTATTTATTCCATCCACATGGAAGCCTGTGTCTATTTTCTTCAGTGCTTCTTGAGAAGTCCTCATGCATTCACTCAAGAAGAGTGGTCTGAACTTGTCAGTGCAGCAGTCTCAGTACTTGCTATGAGAGATACACTGGAGGCTTTTACAGGCCTGAGATCTAACCCTAAGACATCATTCCCAGTTTACATGGTAATTATAAAAGAAGGGAGCTGGCAGCAAGCTGAACGTCCATAAACAAAATACAAAGCACGAGTTCTAGCTTTAATCGTGAGTCAGGTGGTTGGCCAAGTCTAAGAAAGTAAACAATGATCTACAGAAAGCTGAACCAAAATTGTTACTTACCAAACATCTTCAGGCCAGCCATACTTTATTAGATCCTCATCTACAGGGAGACATAAGAGAAAAAAGAAAAGGTAAAAAAAACCACCAACAACAAACCACCTGTCAAATGAAGGCATGCAGTGTTTATACATACTGATAGTTGGGAAAGGGAGAAAGAGCAATCCTTTCCACAACTTTTTCTCTCCCTTAGGGAAGGGGAGAAATAGCAATCCTTTCCACAACTTTTTCTCTCCCTTAATGGAGAAAAGAGCAATTCCAAGAGGCTTTGATGCTTGAAAATTTTGTAAAAATAGTTTTTACAACTGGAAAATAATAATCATTATAATTTTTTATAATTTTTATAATACTTACAATCTAAAGTTCAAAAGTTTCCTATTTGACAGTAAAACAAATCAGAGCAGCTAAGTTAGACATCTTAGAAAATGGATTCACTGTATATTGTCAAAATGGCTTTGCTAAAACTTTAAAACTAATGGATTGCAATTTACTTTTTAAAAAAAACCTCAATTATAAAATCGTAGAAAATGAGCAAATAAAACAAACACCAGAAGTATAAAAAAGAAAATAAAAATCACCTAAAATTCATGTGAAAATAAAAATAAAATAAAACATAGCTAACGTTAAAAGTAACTGTCATGGGGGGGTGGAACATGGGTATTGGAAAGGATGGGGTATTGTAAGCGTTCTGTTACTATTTGGAATTTTAAACTATGTATGTTAGGTAAAAATAAGATTTTAAAAATTTCTTTGGAAACAATGACTACTTATTCTATCATATGGATAAACTTTTCTATTATTTACATTTGGGTTGTTTCAAGTTATATGTGCCCTAATAAATATTTTTTAAATAAACGTGTCCATATTCCTGATTATTTCCTTAAAGTCTATTTCTAAAAGGTTGAGTATTCAAAATTTATGCACATTTTTAAGGCTAATAATGTATGTCACCACAGAAAGGTTATACCATATATATTTCTAATAGCCATATGAATAATTACCAACCAATTGTGCTTATTATAGAAGAATTATTTAAAATATTAGACAAAAGTTAAAAATTGTAAGGGAAACAAAATGATTCAAATATGACTTAAAATGTGCCCAAGAAAGTATAATCTATCTAACTTGGAGTATTTACTTTCCCAAAAGCAAGAAGTTGATAATCCTTGGATGAGGGTTATCCACTTAGCAATTGCAGACACCAAGAGTTTTCTGAAGGGCTTTCTACTAGCTTAAGTGGGAAGCTGAACTAATAGCCAACAGGTAATCAGAAAAAGTAGAGAGAAATAACAAAAACCTCTTCCTCAGTCAGGCAATGTTTGGCTTCCTGGTGACATCTGCTGGATCATAAAAAGAATACACCTAAAAGCTTTTCAGTGAAAGTAAATAATTCAATTTAAATTTCATTTCTATTCCATCCAGCCCTTAGGCTTAAGCCATCAAGGCTATTACAAATAGTCTTGGCCTAGGAGCACTAGAGAACAGGGTGCTTTAACAATGTTATGCTTTTCTTAACAAAGCAGGCTAGGAAAGTTGATGTCTCCAAATCACTCCAACAGTTCCAGGGGGAAAAAAGTGTTCTATACATAGATTTTTTTCATATATATA